AAGCGAAGAACAATTACGCGTATTTCCCTGTTTTTTTTTATGTAAGGGGGAGCAAGGATTTACGATATATAGAAGAAGAATTACTAACGTAGGCAGCTTTTTCGAATTCTTGTAGAACAAACACCTCTGTTCTTCCTTACGTAAAAAAATTCTATAACGAATTAATTCGAGATCCGTTCGTCTGGTGAAAGAGAGAAAAAAAATAAAGAGATAAGTTGAATAATAGAGAATGGAAATGATCCACGTGTACAGTGAACTCGCTTCGAAACCTAGAGATATCAATTTACGACGGAGCACGTACAGAACGATGTATCAATGTTCGATTAAAAAATTTTTTTAATGATCGTCTGTCCGATCGATTCGATTCCATGCATGCATATATTCCTTGACAATTTGTTGGAAGCATAATTTTATAATAAATAAATAATTAAACTGAAACAAGACAATTTTTTCATTTTAACCCTTGAAAATCCTTCGATATCCTTGTACCTGTATATTTTATACAAAATCGTATATGGAAACGATTGTAAATTCGTCTCAGTTGTGGACAAAAAACGTTCGGCGGTTGAGGTATCATAAACTGTGGTTAAATGGCGTCCTGGATGTCGGTTGCACCAAGGTCTGGTGCACTTTTGTCTTTCTCTTACGGGTATACAAGCCATTCCACGTCAAAACTCACAAGAATTGTGGTCATTGTTATCGATTACTTGCAGACTCAGAATTTCAAGATATTTAATGTTAAAGTTTTGAGAAATTGAACGAAAGGAGCCATCGTATTACGATTTCGGTACCAGTATTTCGACTTTGTTCTTATACTCCTTTTAAAAAATCATATTTCCAAACATGGATATAGTATTCTATTTATTATTAATAATAATCGATATTAAATTTTCAAATGTGAATTTGAGGTCGATGTTGCGCTGGAATTAATTCGAAAAAATATCATTCGTTGCCCTATAAAACGTGCTCTTTAAAGAGATGGAGAGATTTTGGGAACATCGAAAAAAATGTTTAACATGATGTACGTCGTGATTGAATCTCGTACAATGTATCACTTTTCTAGTGACATATATATCGTTTGACACGATTGTGGTATTTGTATTTTTACCGTTTGACATAACACATCGGAATTCATATATGGCTATTATACTAAATTTTTTGTATTTAAAACACAGTTACACTCATTTCTCAGTGATTTAATTATCGTTGTCAAATCGGCCCCTTCATAATTTGCATTTGTAATGTAATACAATACTTGTCAAATTGCTAGTATAAATTTTGCACAAATTATTGCATTTCTTCTAATTTTTACTGATTTTAATTACAATTTTAATTCACGATACCTTAGAATTCAATAAATCATTACAATTCTCAAGAAACTCACCTCCGTTTCGATCGATTCAATTTCCTTGGATTCTTCCAAGTATACAACTGGTTTGAAAAACATAGTACCACAAACGAAGTATCGAACTTTCATGATTCTATGTAGTACTTCGATTTTGTGCCTCGTCTGTAGTTGAAGGGACGATACCGAGAATCGATCGAAAAAGTCAAATCGTTGGATTAGAGAAGGTCGTTGTACTTTCTGCCGGTTCGTTCGCCCCCTTTCCGATTTAGTTGACCGCCACAGCGTGCCAGTGACTCTGGCATTCAACAGGTATCTATACAATCGATGTATGTTCGTGGTCCCCGTGCTATCCCCCGTTGACGACGCGTTGTGTTGGTATCGGTGATCTGCGCTTCCCTTCTTGGGACGCTTGCGCCGGTAAGGCAGACACTCGCGTTCGTTCCCCATGGCCAGTCGTTTCATTAGTTCGCCGTCGGCCGTTGAAGCTGGGTGATCTTTCGCTCGCGTATCTTACGGTGTGTTGCGTTTTTTGTTTACGCGGCCAGTTTTTGTATGAAAGTTGCGTTACAATCGACCGTGCCGCGTCTATTCCGCATTATCGTCAGTGAGAACGATGATCGTCACGATAAAATCGTCGATATCATTCAGTGTTTAATGACCTTTGATACGATAGATTCGTTAATCCGTATTGAGGCACAGCAATAAGTGATTTTTTCGTGATTTTTATTGCGTGAAGATTAAATGTGTGTATGATCGGAAACGATCGCTATTCTGTTTGGTTGACGTCGTGAGCTAAGATTGTCGCGTAAACACGCAGAAAGGACGGTCATGTGATAGGGAAAGTGAGACGTGTTTTTTGGTTTTTCGGATTCGTTAACCTTCTCGGGAATGGTATACATCGAATAACAGAAGCGTGAAAGACGTTTCTTGGAAATAGAATCGTGTCGTGGCCACCTAACACAAGTACGTATATACAAATTTATCCAAGATCGTCGAAGTTTGCCAAGCGACGATTTCGCAATGCCCGAGGGAAGACGCACTTGTGTAACACGCACATATATACGTGTCGTAAGATGCTTTTTGCACGCAAATTAGCCGTGTCCACTGCATTTTCTCTTTTTCTGCCATTCGCGTTCCCGCGCTTCTACTTTCTTCCACCATGCCCCGCGTATCGCTCATTAACCTGTCTCCTCTTCCCTTTCTACGTTCTTCTGACACGCACAAACAGGTTTAGCGCTTGCGCACAACACTAATCCGATTGGTAAAAAATTCTGAAATAAATTGAGAGAATAAGTTAGCAAACAAAAGTGACTCGTCAATTTTATGGCACTTACACGTATTATACAATTACTAATTGTTTCTAAACGTTGTTTCATACTTTTATAATAAAGATCGTAAATTCAATTAGCCTGGATATAGTCTACCTTCTTAACTATCGATACGATTAATCTCGACCGTAGATTTCTGGCATTTGTTATAAGCCATATTCCTGTCGATAAGATGTTAAACCTAAGTCTCTAGTTATTGTATAAGTTATCATTCGATCGTGTTATTAGAGATTAATTCTTTTCAAGAGAGAGAGAGAGAGAGATTTTCAATTCCAATTTGTTGTTGAGAACATCATCTTAACCTGAAAATTATGTCGAGTCACGGCGAGGATTAACAATTTAATCTGACGCATAAAACGCTTTGCTAAAAAGCATGATAATACTCGTGGATAAAGGGGAACGAAGATAAGTCCTTTGGATCGAGAAAAAATTGCAAACTAGACGCAATTGTTGTGAAAGCTTTTCGCTAATAATGTTCGTAATGCTAAAAATGTGCTGGTCTAAAGGCGAAAATTACCCAAAGGAAACATTTCGTGCATGTTAAAATTCTCGTCTTTAATACTCGAAACATTGATTCTCGTTAAAGTCTCGAAAGTAGCAGAAAAGAGAGAGAGAGAGTGGGAGGGAGAGAGTAAAAAGTAATTCAAAAGTTCCGTGATTAATGAAGTAATTCGTTTCAAGTAAGAAGTTGTATTTCATTTCGCCTGACTTTTGTTCTTTGGCCTGAAATAATCTCCCGGGAAAAAGGAGAATTATGAAAAGCGCGCGGCGGCGGCGAGGCTGGCGTTGTAAAGAATCTGACCAAAAACCGCGTAAAAAAGGATCGTCGTATAATTGTCAAAGGAGACGTTAAAATCTTTTCTCCTTTGCGAAACGCACACGTAAAAAACACGTAGTAGCTTAAATTAAAAATAAAACATTCGCAAAATATTTTTCACCTTTAAACGTATAGATAAGAATTCTGACGAGTAGATTACCCGGTAACCTATCGGTACCATTCCCGAGGACGTGATTAACCCGTATTTATGTAAATGTTCCGTAGTAAACGTGGCGCAGGTGAGAAAGTGAAAGAGAGGATAAAAGGAAAAAAAATACGCGAAGGCGCGAACGGCAATGTGCAAGAAAAAAAGTGTGCGTGCTACAGTCAGTAAGAAGAACGCAAGAGAAACACGGCAACGATGACGGAAGGCGGACCGAACATAAGCGTGAGTAGCAGATAATTTCACCTTACGCAACTTAATAGACTGTGGAACACAGTAATCGAGTTAAAACGATTACTCGAGCCTCTGTCGTGCAATTAGGAAAATTATACACGAGCAACCATTTCCTTTTATCCACTCCAATTTTCACCTCGCTTTAACAGATAAAGTTAAAGCTATCTCTTAATATTTCCCCCACCCCTATCTTAGCGAGAATTGTACTTCCCCTTTCATCTCTCGCTTCTATTCCTTAAGAAATTTTTCTTTCTCGCGCATCACTCGTCTAAGTCCTCGGTTATAGGTTCTCCACATCTCAAAGTCCTTTTCCTGGCTTTTCCTCCTTTGTGCGTACTTCTCTGCTCACCTTTTCTTCATCTCCGTTCCAGGGTTGTTCCTTCTCCTAGATTTTTCCTTATCGCTCTGAACCCCTTTAGCCCTCTCCATCTCGCCTCCTATATTTTCCCTCTCTCCGTGAAGTCGCCCGTTTTAAAAGCTACGCTGGTGCACGAGGCTCGTGTCTCTCGCCAGGATTCGGATTGAATAATTAAAAAGCGAAGCGGTGTGGGGGGGCGGTTGGTTCATTTTTCAAGCCATGCCGGCCCACTCTCGCGGAATTACCAACTATTGTCCCGAACTGGGCGCTAAATTTTGTTGGTCATTCCAGCGTTACCTTGATTACGTTCAGTTAATTATGCAACTGTGTTTTCTACGATTTTTTTAATGGTTTATTTGCTGAGGAACGGAGTTGTCTAGTTTTACGATTGACTTATTGAACGAATTCTGGTTATTTTCAGTACGTTCGGTTAATTATACAAATGAAAAAATTAAATTCATAATTTTTCTCTTGTGGAAAATATTTTCCACTGAGAAGGTATTGAAGAATAAAATTCGTAATTTTCTTTTCAAGAGAAAACTAAGAATCTCTGCTAACTCAATTATTCCACATTCTTCCAACTCTTTTTTTCATTGAAGAAGAATTGAAGAATAAAATTTCTCATTTTCTCTACGATTTTTCTATGGTTCCTTTGGCGAGGAATGGAGTAGTCTAATTTTACGAACAATTATTTGAAAAAATTCTCTCAAACTTCCATCTGTACTCTTTTTATCGAAAAATTGGAGGATGCGTAGTGTCCGTTAAAACAAACGAAAATAGTCCAATTAACACCGATCAACACAGGTGAAATTAATTTAGAAGTAGATGTAATTGCATTATTGGTTGTCCATCAGACATGATGTTCTGTGACGCGTTAATTGTACTGTCCATAATATTTATTTGTCCCATTGGTATTGTCCGCAATTCCCTTCTAGGGCAACTCCAAATTTGCATTCTAATGGAGTATGCACGAACAAAAAATCCACCATCAAATTCTCGTCTTGTTTCAGATCAACCTTTTATATACCGGGTGAGTCAATAAGAACTAACTTCTAAAATAACTGGTTACCTCTTGCTTGTAGCAAAAAACGGTTCAAATGAATTATGTAATGCTAGTTCTTATTGACTCACCCTATATAATCTATACACGTAGTTTTCGCCTTTATGAATTGCAGTAAATTCTCCACAAGTGTCAGTCCGCAAGGAACCTAAACCTGACACTTGTAGAGTCAGGGACTACGTTTTCGAGCCTCGCGCACGCCTTTGTAGTTTGCCGAACGTAGACAAGGACAGCGAATAAAAGATAAGGATGAAACGTGAGTCGAGGCAACCAAGCGATTTAAATACCAACTTAAATGTTGTCAACTAAAAATTTTGAACGTCATAGCTAGCTAGACATTATTTTCAATTGAAAAAAAAAAATTATCAAGCATAATACTATAATCCTATGCTTAAAATGTATTTTCTTGTGGCCGCCTGACAGCAACCTGTATATCTGGCGTGACAGTGAACGTGTTAATAAGTAAATTTTGTTCAAATTATATCGTGTTTGATATCATTTTTATCAGAAAAATCTCACCAACATGTTAAAAAAAATTCCAGATGAAAAAAAGTAAAATTAAAGAACTTATATTTTTCTATTACGAATTGTCGAGCCGTGAAATCTCGTAAAAGAAACCGACTGGTGTATATTTTTCTATTATGAATTGTCGAACCGTGAAATCTCGTAAAAGAAACCGACTGGTGTAGCGAGATAACATAGACGCAGCAATGACGCAGACCTAGGCGTAGGACCATCTATACTGACACTTGTAGAATCCAAACTGACTGACACTTGTAGAGAATTTACTGTAATTGGTTCCTGACGACCGCTCGTAAATCGGGAATTTATAAAGGTCGGTAAGTGAGGCTCGTTCTAATTGATCATTACGTCATTACATTCCGATCAAAAAAATTCGTAAAGTGGCAATTACCAGTGTATACACACGTTTATTTATTTGCCTTTTGTAATTGGTTACGTTTCCATTAGCGAAGGAAGAAGAAAAAAAAAGATAATGCCTCGCTTATTACACGGGAGCCTCGAGTTTTCATTCGAGAATTTATGGAGCACCCTTTAATCTTGATCCAGGGATTAACGGGTTTTACGTAGAAGAGGGGGGGCGGAGGTGCGTCTCAACAATTTCAACGATACCACGCAGATCGTTAAGCACTCTTTCAGACTGAACTTATGGCGTCGTTAAATTCAGGAAATGACTTCAGTAATTCCCCGCACGCAGAAGCCCGTTTATCTGGACGCCGATCAGCCGGATTTCTGGGTTTATCCGACAGATTAAAAACCAGGCAATCCTGCGACACTTCCATTAACTTCGACACACCGTACCAGCCGATGCTTCTATCGTTGATCGAGCCGTTTTCTCCTTTCCTTCCTTATCCGCTGTGTCGCTTTCCTTTTTAATTATATTCCTTTCGAATTATTATTTTTTTTTTCCTGCAAGAACAACGAATTGTTTGAGGAAAGCAAGTAATTTAAGTTTTTTGTTCGATTATATTTTATCCATTTAAATAACTGAGAAAGTAACATTATGTTCGTGATTTGCGAACTTCGCGACGCGATGCTTAATTCGACCGGTGCGCAAAGAATTCACGAACTGCTCTCGCGGCAAACTAATGGCACGAGTGCTGTTTAAATTTGTAGATGAGATTTGTGGTGGGTGAAAAAGAGATATATGTTTTACACGATAGACAAATACTGGCTGATTGGTGGTGACTGTTACTTTTTATTTTTCGTGATGTCTCAAAGTTGGTGATAGAATCTCTATAGAATGTGTCTGTTTCTGTGTGTGTTTGTGTTTTTATAAGTTCGGTGTGTACAGTGATTGGTGGTGTGAAATGTGTGAGAAGTGGTGGGAGTATCGGTTAATTGGTGTTTGGGGCGTGTGGTTGGGTTTGTCTGGTGGAGTCGAAGTGGGGAAATTGTTGCTAAAATTGTTATATTAGGGGATGGGAAAATCCTGAGGTCGGAAGGTGGTTTATGAGTGTAGTGCATGTGGTGTCCAGATGTAGGGTATTCGACTTTCTAAGGTAATAAAACAATTTGCTGATGGCGAGGAGAGAGACCAATTTACGGAAAATATATTATTTGTGAATATGGTAGGGCTCCATTGTTCGAGTCCTCGGTACGGTCGAACACATTATTTTGGCGAGATTTTAAACGACGAATCAACACGTCTCTAATCTTTCAACAAAAGAGTGATAATATATCTATCTGTACGGAAATTCCGGTTTCCAGTCAATGATACATGAATAATTAATATGGATGTACGTTAATTACATTCTCATAATTAAATTATCATTAATCGCCATGTTTAATATCACATTGTCAACGGAGAATTTAATTCTCGATTCGCTGTTGCTGTTATTAATATGGAATTTGGGTATTTAGTTTAAAGGTAAGAGGATTTTTAGTTTGACGCTTGTGTTTTTTTTAGAATTTATGTCCTTTTGAATTTATTGAATTCTCACTCCCTGTATATTTTCCTTGAATTTCGAGCTTCTAGCAGTTTACACGAGTTAACATTCGTCCCGTGTAATTCCATTATTCGGTCAAAAAGGCTGTTTACCAATGCTGCGCACTCGGAAATTAACTCTAATTCTAATGCACGCGTGCTCTCGTAGCAACCATAAACGCGGGAAACTTTACGGCGGAAGCCGGCGAAACCCGATGCATCGTAAGTTTGTATCTAGCTGCCGATTCATTACGGACGTGTCCAACTTGGCCCGTCGATAATTCAAAAAGTTGATAATCGATAGCGCAAAAGTGTTATGAAGCGTTACACGATGCGCTCGTATCGACGTTTCTCTTCGTCGGTGAAAGCGTACACCTCGGTAGAAAGTAAAGAACATCGTCTTTGCTGTTCTTAAATATCTTTTCGTTGCTCTTCAATTTTCTCGTAAAAAGCGAATTAATGAATTGAATACGCCATTTTCTTTCTTAAGTGAAAATTGAGAATCTCCACGTTTCGTATTCTTCCAACTCTTCTCCAAAATTTGTCACGTTGAAAAAGAATTACAGAATAAAATTCATTTTTTTTTTTCAAGTGACAACTAAAATTCTCTGGTAACTCAACATTCGAAATTCTTCAATCTTTTCTCTTAATTTTTTTCATTGCGAAAGAATTATTCCACGTTGATCCAATTCTTTTCTCAATTTTTCCCACTGAAAAATTAACAGACGCAAGATTCGTGATACCGTGCTATTCTGCGGGTTAATTCGCGAGCTAAGAATCCTGGCTAATTCGAAGAATTTCAGTGTTGCAGCCGCAGGAATGTTAAGAATCCAGAGTACAAAGGATATTTACGTAGCGGATAAAATTCCGTGGAAAACCGCGTGATTAACGTTGTCACAGGTCCGTGAAATCTTTTCAACTTTTCTTTCTCTCATACGATTTTACATCGAATCTAGCTGCTTCAAACTAGCTAATGAGAAACGTTGCAATTAGAGTTTACGGCTACAGAAAACAATGGTTAGTGATAGTTTTGCGACGACGAGAGTTTTCATTAGATATAGAAGGAGGAAGGATGGTAAACTCTATCCGAGAGCCATTAATTATCGCTTTATCTAAACCTGGTAACA